GGACACATTCCCCTCGGATCCCCCTGTAAACACGGACACATTCCCCTTGGAGCCCCCTGTAAACACGGACACATTCCTGTAGGAGCCCCCTTTAAACACGGACACATTCCCGTAGGAGGCCCCTGTAAACATGGACACATTCCCCTCGGAGCCCCCTGTAAACACGGACACGTTCCCCTCAGAGCCCGCTGTAAACACGGACACGTTCCCCTCGGAGCCCCCTGTAAACACGGACACGTTCCCCTCGGACCCCCCTGTAAACACGGACATGTTCCCCTCGGAGCCCCCTGTAAACACGGACACATTCCCCTTGGAAACCCCAGGTAAGACTTTTTGTACCAACCACCAACCTCTCCCCTGTCCCACACCCCAACTCCAGCAGCAACATCCTGTCCCTAAATAGGGAGACTGAGCTTACAACACCAAAGGGTGGAATTGTCCCGTTTCAAGAAGTGGCAGGGAAGGTGCTGGAAGGGCAAGATAGTTTGCAGGGTTATGGTCCCTGCTGCCCTTCCCCAACCACAGGAATTGAAATATTGCAGCAAAGCCTGTCCACGCTGTCGCTAGTTGAGACCCTTAAGTGGTTAAGTGGCTTTTTAAAAAATTTCGTCGTGAGATTTCGTTGTTGCCGGCTCAGCCATTTTTTACCATCCAGTTACCATAACCGTCTAATTACCCAGAAGGCAGTCAAGTGTAAGGCCTTATTGCTGTGGGTCTGGAATCACAGGTAGGCCAGACCAGGCCAGGACAGCAGAGTCCCTTCTCTAAAGGGCATTAAATGAACCAGAGGGTTTTTAATTGACTGTCAGTAGTGAATACATGTTCATTACACCAACTTTTTAATTGAATTCAATCTTCACCGTCCATCAAGGTGAGATTTCAACCCATGTGTTCCTAAAACATTAGTCTGTTTCTTTGGATTACTAGCCCAGTAACATTACCATTATACCACCTACCCACTACTGTTAAAAACTTTAATGTGAAGAACAGGAAATACATGACCTACTCCTGTTTCGTTGTCTTTTCTTAAAGGATTGAAAAGGAATTATTATTATTCAGTAGTATGTATAAATAGTACGTTTAGGAGGTTACCTGGAAAAAGAACTCCAGTACCAGCAAAACTCATCTTAATAATTTATTATCTATGCAACTGGCTCTGTTTTATTTGGTTTACTTTTTTTGACAAGACATCTAATCCTATCTGTATCCTCAGTGTTAAAGCTGTCAGTGTGTACAGTAATCGTAAAATTAGCAAAAGCTGCTTTATTTGGAAATATTGAGACAACTTAAAAAGATGACTACTCCAAAACAGCCCATGTTGTGGATCCAATTACACATTGAAACAAAAAAATTAAAACAGAAAATGTTGTGAGTTGTCTTGTCACTGCTTAAGTTGCAGCAGCTCCTAACATTTCAGCACTAGTTCATTCCAAGAAAAGCATTTACAGCATAAATTCTGAAAATACTGTAGACAGTTTTAATGCTGAAGTTGTCAGTTTTGGGTGTAAAAACCACAACACATTTTGATTTTTGACTTTTTGCTTGGTGAATTCTTTAGTACCTTAGAGTTTTCTGTAATTCTCCTGGAACATTTACGGATGTTTGAAGGATGTAAAAGAATAGTCATTACTGCTCCTGGATCTCGTAGTGATTCCGAAACTGCTGAGGGGAGATTAGCTAAATTGAAGGTATATGATAGCTCACTTAAAAGACACAGTTAATACCTCCTGTTAAGCAGTAGGGCTTTGTTGCATGAAAGTATTCAGTTACTGTCCTGTAGCCTATCTTGATTTTTAACTGTTATCAAGGTTGAGTTTATCCATCAAAAGTAAAAGCAGTTATATACTGCAACCATGGAAGAAATTAAAATTTAACAAAACAAGCAAGCAGGACATGAATGTTGTTCTCTTGGCTGGACCTGATTTCCATGCAGAGAATCTGCAATCTGTTATTAATGTCATTCCTCACATTTTATCATATATGTTGACTCCTCCAATCCAGATGTTGTCACCTCTCTCTTTCCCTCTCTCTCTCTGGTCTTTTAAAGTAATTTAGGCACGTAGACTCACAGATCATCCAATGATCATATTACCTCGGTACACCACAGTATGAGCCACAGTATGAGAATTCCAGCATGCTTTCTTTTAATAGTCTCTGCAATCCTTTTTCCCATTTCTATTCCAAGTTCTGGATATTCTATATGTGCAGGGATGGGAATGCTTAAATAAAGTTTACTTTCACAATCACAAAACTGAATCAATCATTATCACAATCATGAGGAGCCTTGCAAAAAGAACAAAACAGCATGTCCAGCAAGACCCCTTCTGAAAGGAAAATAATCTGAATGGAAAGATAAACATTTTTTTTCTCATGCTCCTATGATTTTCTCACCTGCGTTGTTGCAACAGTGTCCTGGAAATTGTTTTGCAAATTCCTGGAGTCTGCAGAGAAAATGGAAAACTGGCCAAGTCTAAATTCACAGTGTGTTGATTTCTCCAGCTCTCTCCCAGCTTCATATTTAAACTGTTGCAGAAATGTAACTACCTGTCAACCTCCGTTACCCCTGTTCTTCTATTTACCATCCAGATACTCCAATGCCTCCCACTTTGTCAATTTCTCTCTGGTACCATGAACAGCAATTTCTCCACACTCCATTTCCCTGCTCCAAATTTCCTCAATTCAGAGACAAGGTTCTCCATCCACACAGTGGCTCCCCACACACCCACAGGACCTCATAATCATAATTAATTCCTCCCTTATAGAACATTCATCTCCACATCTTTCCCTACTATCTACAGGACTTATATATTTATTACTGGGGGGAAAAGTATTTATTACTGGGAAAGGGGATACTGTTAATGGAAAAAGTACATTCACTATGGGAAGGCCACAACTAGGAGTGAATTAGAGGAGAAACAACCAATGAAACAAGTGTACTTCTTACAGAGGTAGAAAATTGCTGGTAGAGTGTTTATTGCAGGGAAAGAAAATTACTAGGGAGAGTATTTATTACAAGCAGAGACAGTACCTGGGCAGATATTTATTATACATAGAGACAATTACTGGCGAGTGTGTATTTATTGCAAGAGAGACAATTATTGGGGCGACTTAAACTGTGGTGAGAGTATTTATGAGAGGTCATTATTGAGGTGATGACATTTATTGGAAGGAAGAATGTTGCCAGGAGGATTATTTATTCCTATGGGGGGGAGGGGATATCGTCTTAAAGATATTGTGGTGCTGGTGGGTAGGTTGAAGGGCTGGGCTGGGGGCTGACGGTTAATCTCCTGAGTGAGAGCAGCGACGTGTTAAGGAGCATCCTGACCCAGTGTGAAGGGTGTGTTGGGGATGGGAGGTCATTCGGGTTACCAGGAGGGTGAGTGAGGTGGAAGTTTCCCAGCCCATCCTGCAAAGGATGCCCAGGAGCTGGGCTCTGACAGTAAATGTGCGGCTCGGATTGAGAGAAGCGGCTCCAAAAAACAAAATCCTGCATCTCCCACTGACCAGCTGCACATTTACTTTCCAGTTCCGCTCCTGGGCGGACACAACTGTCCCTGCGGTGGAAGACTCGAGAGGCGATGGGGCGTCCATACCCACTCACCCCCCCCCCCCCCCCCAACAAATACATTAGTGTTTGACCAATTTTATTGGACTGGGTGGGGGAAAGTGAGGGGAGATTGGTGCATCTAGGCTCCGCATTAGAAATTTGTTTTATTTTCCATTCAGTGTCATCTCGCATTCGCGGTTCTGCTTTATGCCCTGAGCCGCTTGATGTTTTGTTTTGGGTTTTTGTTGCTGTGTGGGCGATTTGGACAGGAACCTGAGATTGCCCCCTGTGTGTGTGTGAGGGAGGAGGGAGAGAGGGAGGAGGAGGGAGAGAGGGAGGAGGAGGGAGAGCGGGACCGCGCCTGAGCAGGCGGAGCTGTGGCGTCCTCGCCCCCGGCTCCATTCTCCTGTTCTATGTCTCTCTCTCTGTGTGTGGACGCCTGGCTATTTATAGATTTTTAATATATTTGAATATCATCCCCAGCGTCCGCTGGTTGCATTGTTTTAATTTATTTCTGGATTTTTTTTTAAGAAAAAATGTTTAAATGCTTGAGGCATTTTTTTCCTTTCTGTTTCTCCTGTGTGAAAAAGATTCGAGAGGAGCGTTAGATAGCGACGGCGTTCCCCCCGATTGCACAGAGAGGGCCATCTCTCTCATTGTGCATCTGTGGGCCGGGGGAGGGAGTGTGCACATTATATATATATCTGTCTGATTTATTTTTTTTTTAAAAGACAGGGAGGGAGACTGGGGGGTGGAAAGAGAGTGTGTGTGTGAGAGAGAGGAGGGGGGAGAGAGAGAGAGCCAGCGATGGGTTGTTTAGGGAACAGCAAGACGGAAGACCAGCGGCACGACGAGAAAGCCCAGCGCGAAACCAACAAGAAAATCGAGAAGCAGTTGCAGAAAGACAGACAGGCGTATAAAGCAACCCACCGGCTTCTGCTGCTGGGTAAGACCCGCGATACAATGTAATACTCTTCATGGCAACATCAGATGGCGGGGGGCGGGAGCCTGCCGCTGGCGCAGCTTCCAACAGGCAACAGACCCTCTCTTTCCCCCCTCTTCCCTCAGCCCCATATGGAATCTATATGGCACTGCCTTCATATATATATATATATGTATGTATGTGGGGGAGTGCTTCTGTTTGTGCATGGTGTTATGGAGCTGACTGTAATGATATTGGTGCTCTGTAAGTATTGCTATTTATTTTTAAATGTGCGAATCTGATTTCTGTCTCTCTCTCGCTGTCATCGTGTGTTTTTGTTTTCTTCCAGGGGCCGGTGAATCCGGGAAAAGTACAATTGTCAAGCAAATGCGGATCTTGCACGTCAATGGATTCAATGCCGAGTAAGTGGCGGGCGTCACAGCCTGTGGTTGGTTGGGAGAGTGGAGGAGGTTTGGAGGGGAAGGGGGTGGGGGTGGAGGTGAGGGAGAGGGTGAGTGGGTGGGAGGATGTGTGAGGATGGGAAGGTGGAGGTGTTAGGTGGGCACTCCCCCAAAATGTAGGACTGTGTGTTCCCTGACAGCATTGGGAAGCTAAGGTTCAAAATTTTCTTTTTTTCTCTGTCTCTCCTGTATTGATGTTTGTACAGCAAGCAGTATTTGTACAGTCCAGAAATAGCAACAACATGGCGACAGTTCTCACTAGCAACCCCCCCCCCCTCCCCCACCGCCGATGTTCATATCTCACTATATAATAACATTCTCCATTTATGTGTTCTTAACCACAATCAATACTTTGGTAAATAAAAGCAACACATTGCAGATGCTAGAAATCTGGAACAAACACGAAATGCTGAAGAAACTCAGCCAGGCTGAAGTAGAGTCAAAACAGATTTGAAGTGTTAGCTGTTTCTCTCTCCACAGATACTGCCAAACCTGCTGAATTTCTCCAGCATTTTCTGCATTTGTTCCAATCCTTTGATAATGCAAATATTTTGATCATGAGCTGAATGGAAAGGAATGTTACCGTTGAGTTAAATCAAATTGTTCCCGTTACTTTCCCATGCAGAGAGAAGAAGCTGAAAGTACAAGATATTAGGAAAAATATTAAAGATGCTATAGTGGTAAGTGTTAATAGCTGCACCGCTATTGCTAGGAAGACCTTTGATTTTTTTGGCATGTGAACATAAATCCAATTTTCAGTCAAATGGATTATCCCATATTTATTCAGATTAATGTCTGTCACTATTTTCTATCCATTTTTAGACAATAGTCTCAGCAATGAGCACTTTAATACCCCCAGTCCAATTAGCCAACCCAGAACATCAGTTTCGGTTGGACTACATCAAAAGTTTAGCTCATCTTTCAGACTTTGAGTACACACAGGTAAGAAATGTTGACATTTTAACTAATAATTGTGAGAAATGCTCTTTTTAAATTTCTTTGTTCTTTGGCCCTGACTTTTGCATATTTGATGATCTTCCTTGTGTGAACTTATTCTTCTTCCGTGGCCTAATGCAACCCCGTTCAGCAGTACGATTCTCAAACACTGCTGAAGCATATAAGCTTGTTTAAAAGTGGATCCAGTGTTCCATCTTTGGTCGATTTATGGTTGCTGTGTAATTCAGAAATTTACATGAAGTTGTTCATTGTGCCTGTTAGTCCAAAGCCCCAGGAAAGCACCCAAATATATACAGTTGAATGCATGCTTCATTCCGTTGCATAAGAGCATGCTGTGATTGTGTGTGTGCAAAGCAGATCCTCTGATCAACAACAAAAAAAGGTTCTGTTAACAATGTCACCACTCAAATGTGGGGCCTGTGTTACGTATTTTTGCAGCCCATACCACTAGCCTACTAAGAACATGACTGCGATTAAATCACTTAGATACAACTGTAGTATTTCTCGCTATTTATTCAACCACAGTAGTTCATCTTACATCCGTACTGTTCACAGTCTAATTACTAATATTTCAGTCAGGAAATCCTGTCACATCAGCAAGATTGGCTATAGCACTGAGAGAGATTACCTGTCAATGGTAACCAATCAGCCTCTGAATGTAGTTTCAAAATTAAACTGATATTTCAAAATCCATCTGAATTATCTTACATTGGGGTTCAGAATCAATCACATAACATTATCCTGCTGTTCAGTAATATTTTTTGGGAGTCTGTTTAATTTTCTATTGTAAGTGAAGTTACCTTTATCATTCGGTAGGATTGATTTGCTGAGAGATGTAGGAGATCTAGTTGAGTTTTATGTTGAAAAAGTTGATGTAAGGAAATCTATTTTGTTGAAGTCCCTTTTCAACCACTCAGTTGGAATAGCCTTTGAGTTGAGTTAATCGACATGATTTCGATAAATGTGCCCAAGTGTGCTGTGTGTGTCACTCAATAAAAATAATCAGACATATGGAGTGATTTTCTTGGTTTTATTTTGCTGTGCCGTAGATTACAAAGAACCTGTGCAATTTTGTTGGCCCAAAATGTATAACTAATTTGAAGGGAAGGGGTGGACAGAAAAAAGATCCTTTTAAAAACTTCACTTAAATGGGATCGTGTAGTCCTTATTTGAATGGGATGTAATTTTGTTTTGTTTTGTAAATGGAAATGTAATTTTCCTGAATACACAATGGCAGTCTGACTTTCATTGGACATGCTATGTGGAAGGGTACATCCAAGATTTCTTGAAGCAAACATTTTTTGTTATGTGGTATCAATCAAAGGTTTCCACATGCTATTGATGACATGGTGTATCTCTAAATCAGGATTTATGGATTGTTTTTAATAAGGTATTAATTAGACTCCATAATGTTTCCATCGCTCCCTTTTCCTTTTATGAAAATCTACCCCTCTGATCTAGCTTTTCAAATGTCCCTAAACGTGATTATATAGCAGATTTTTGTTTGTGCTGTTGTGAAGCTCTTTGGATCATTTTACTCTATCAAATGTTCTGTATATGTGCAAGTTGTAGTTCTGAAACAGTTTTATCAGGGTGTCATGACAATAGAAAACTCCTCATTGTAGTTATAATGATGTTCCTTTGTGTAGCATACTCGATACTCTGTCACTTTGTTTAGTTACTGTTTCCCATTGGATTTCTTTTTGTTTCAGTGCAGGTGTTCATTTATGATGTATATGTACACATACAAATATAGTTATTATCATGTACACTAAATGTGTTTTATTAAGAAAATTAAAGCCATCATATAGTGTGATTAAATGACGTTGTAATCTATGTTTACCTGTTTATGAATCCTGTTTGGCATAGCCAATTTAAAAAAAATTGAGTTGTAAAATATGAAAACTGCTTCATTATATTTTCTGCTCCCAGTAGACTTTAATTTGCATACAGTTGATCAAATTGAGAAAGTAAATATGAGTGCAGAAATTTGACCAGTGCTTAAAGATTTTTTTTGATTTTTCATATTTGTTGGCTTGAGTCACTGTGTAACTTACTCTAAATATTTTGTAAACTCTTGACTTGCTTTGTGATCAATAAGTAACTTCAAATAATTTTTAACTCTGTTAATTTTAAGAGGTTTGGTTCTAAATGTAGAATGAGAAGCAAAACTAGCAATAAATCCAGTGTGTTCACAGTTCAAGACCTAATAATAGCAACTAGACTAAATTGACAGTTTCTAAGCTAAAGATAACTTGCGCATCTTTCCTCCTGGTGCAGCTGAAAAGTCAGAAACTTGCCTGCAAAACCCTGTGCCTTGTATAGAAACTTAGTGATGATTTTTGTTGGGAAGTGGGCATATCCATCGTTAAGTTAACAAGTGAAAGTCATTACGTGGCTAATGTTATGAATTCCTGTGCCTTGGGTGAATTGAAGAGATTGCAAAGCTACTGTGCTTTCAGTTTTAGACATTAAATGTTGGTGCTTCAACACGCAGCGTTGTTTTGAAATAAATGATTTTGTTAAGATGTTCAGTATGTGTGAAGTGTCAGTTTGCTAGATTAGAGTGTGGTTTACGATAAAGCCAGCAGTGTGTGTTCAAACTCAGTACCAGCTGTAGTGGTTCATGGAGGCCTCCCTCCTTTCTTTACCTTTACCCATGTGAACTGTTTACCCTCAAGGTATACAAAACCAATTGTCTGTCTCTGTCTCTGTCTCTCTCTGTCTCTCTGTCTAATGGAAAGAGATTCTGAAAGTTCTTTGTAGACCCTCCCTCCATACCATATGTGAAATAAACTGGTAAAAATACTGTTTTTAATGTCGACCAAATTCAAGATAGGAATTATCAAGACCGATTTTACCTTTGGTCTTTAATCACTATGGATGGCCATATCTACTAATTTTATATAATGGATTCACTGATATTTCTGGCATATTGTAGGGTTAAGATCCAAGAGTGTCAAAATTAAAACCCACTCTTGGAGGTTGTTAAACAGAATGAAGCTATTATGTTGTTATATAGCAATTTTTACGTTTTAGCCCTCCCCTAGCCTTACATGTTTCTTCATTCATTCAGCCAGCTTTATTGATATATAGTTTTAGATGTATCTGTCTTTGACCAACAGGCAACTCCTTTCTGGTTCACTGAATTGTGCAAAGTTTGTGTGGCTGAATTATACAATTAATGGTAGGGCCTTGGGTAGTGTTTCAGAACAGAGAGAGACCTATGAGTTCAGGTACATAATTCTTTGAATTTGCATCATGTGTAGACATAATTTAAAAAAAGGCATATAGCATGATGGCTTTCATTGCTCAGTCCTTTGACTGTAGGAGTTGGGAAGTCATGTTAAGGTTGGAGAGGACATTAGTGAGGCCTCTTCTGGGGTACAGTGTCCAGAATAGGAAGGATATTATTCAGCTGGAGAGGGCTGAGAAGACATTTACCAGGATGTTGGATATGGAAGGTTTGAGTTATAGAGAAAGGTAGTATCGGCTGGGACTTTTTTCACTGGAACGTAGAAGGTTGAGGGTGACCTGATAGAAGTTTATAAAATAATGATGGATCTTGATAGGGTTAATAGTAGGTGTCTTTTCCCTAGGATAAGTAATTTCAGACAAGGGGGCATAGTTTTAATATGAGAGGAGAGAGATTTTAAAAAAGACGTGAGGAGCAATATTTTTACATAGAGGGTGGTTCATGTGTGGAATGAACTTCCAGAGGAGGTGATGGATGTGGTTACAATTACAGTGTTTAAAAGATATTTGGATAAGTACATGAACAAGAAAGATTTGGAGACGTAAGGGCCAGGAGCAGGCAGGTGGGACGGGTTTAGTTTGGGATTATGTTCGGCATGGACTGGTTGGACCAAAAGGTGTGTTTCCATGCTGTATGACTCTGTGACTCTTAAGTTATTTATTCATGGTGATGAATTAGAACAGTATTGTCATTACCTGTAACGTGTGGAACTTGATTGCTTAGAAAACATGCTTGCAATGATCACTACGTTGTAGGGAGGTAATCTCACTCTGGTTAAGATTAATTATACATTTAAAAAAGAAGAATTCCTGGCACTTGTGGCTCAGAAAACCATTGTTCAACATTCATGAAGTAAACATGTGCTAAAGTTGAAGCCAAGACAAGCTTGTTTCAAATTCTCATGGTACTTACTGACAAACTGTACTGATACTATGAATAAAGTAGATCCACAGGATAAGGAATCTGAATCCATGGTCAATTTGAAACAATTTCAAAACTTTAATCAAGGGGAAATGTATTGTACTCTGAAAACAAATAATGGATAACTGGCACAGTACCTCTTGAATCAAAGTAAATAGAACTCCAGTTCAGTGCTTCAATCTCAATATGATTTCATATGTAGCATATTTATAGTAAGTTGCAAAAAGGAATTGGATAAAAACTTAAAATACACAGTCTTGCAAAGCAATGGGGAAAGGAATGGGACTAATTGGTTAACACTCTCGGAGAACTGGTACAGGCACAGGGGCTGAATGGCCTCTTTCTGTGTGGTATAATTAAATCATATAATTTTACAATACAAAAGGCATCTACTGATCCCGTTTTACTTGTGCTGGTTCCTTGAAAGTGTTGTCTAATTTTGTCCTACATCGCAGATGTTCCCCACCGCCGCCATAGCAATTATCTTCCAAATTAGTCCTCTTCAAATTTAAGTCCAGTTGACATGTAAAGTTTTTTTGTGGAATCTGATCCCATCACCCTTTTAACTGCTAACAACCTTTTATGTGAAGTCTCCTAATTTCTTCTCTCTTTCCCTTGCTATTGGCTCTAATCTATGGCTTCTCTTTACTGAATCACTTCCCAAAGGAAACTTTCTTTCTATTTTCTCCATTAAAAGTTGTCATAGATTTGAATGCATCTGTTGAGTCTTTTATTAACCTTTTCTGCTCTAAGGACAAATTCGGGCTTCTCTAATCTTTCCAGAAGATTGAACAACCCTATCACTGGT